AACTTTGAAAAATGCTACCATTACGTATTTTATAAGTATGGAAGAAAATGTAATTCACCGACACCCTGATAATAGAGCTGCTGGGCAATATGAAAACAAAAATCCAAGAAAGCCATTTCGTGGAATCAAACTGTAAATTTAAAAGGTTAGATAAGAGTCCTCGGTGGTTTAAAATGCACTAGATATTAACAGGCTGGGGTAGATTGAACGGTATAACAACATTTCCTTTGGAAGAGGTTGGATCCCTGGCAGGATTGTAAATTCCACAGTTTGAAAAGACAATGGAACTACTTAAACATGTGAAGTGTCTTGGGAGTGGAAGGAACATGCATTTGCTTGATAAAAGAAAACTTACCAGCAGCAGCAGAGGACTTTGCAGTTAAAGCGCCAGGCTTTGCTATTCTGGAAGGTGCTTTAAGCCCACTTGGCTTTAGTGAACTCATTTTTTCACTATTCACAACTTTCCCCAATCGTTATCTTTTTGCAACCATTGATAAATCCGGATTTATGGTTTCAAGGTCAAATCTTGAGCCTGCAGGAAAAAGAAAAAAAAATGATAGGGTTACGGTAAAATGGAAACACTTAATGCCAAACTCATGTCAAAGCTTTGTATTTTGTTTCTGCTAGAGTGGGAAAGGTTTAGAACTTTTATGGAGGTATTTATGATCATCTTTGTTAAAGCAAAAAGGTCAGTCTAAATCTCACCATACACGTTACAATTGGACTGTATGGTGCAATGTCCTTAAATCTTACCAATAATAGGTCATGTGATCACCTAATCCATTTTTATCCAGGCCCATGAGTACAAAGCTGTAAAGGAGATTGCATAGTCACATTGTAATGTGTGGTAAACTGTCAGCACTTGGAACCAGTTATGTTTTTTTTTTAATTCTCTCTCAGAGTCTCTTGCCCGCGCCCCCCTTTCCTCTCCATTACTGCATATGAAATGGATTCTCACTTGCCTGGCCACATTGTGCATATTGTATAATAAAGTAAAAATAACAAATCCACAGCAACGCATTAGGCCCCTTTAATACCAGCACTGCGATCAGGTCCACCTGTCAGTTTTTCAAGCCGACCCGAGTGGAAGCCAGGTGTTAATTTATGGGCTACCGGATGTAAACAAGCGTGTGTCTGTTTACATTAATTACTCCCAACTCTGGCTAGGTCCAGAAAAACAAATGGATCGGGGGTAATCTGATGTAAACAGACACGTCCATTTACATCACATTCCCCATAAACCAAGAAATGACAGGTCCTGTAATTTCAGTATTTTCCTCCATTACAGCACTGTGGTGTAAACTGAGCGCATCGCAAATGAGGCTTTTTGCCTTGTCTTTGCATTAGGATTGCACTGGGCAAGCCCGTCATCACAGCCCAACACCTCTTGTGTGAACAGGACCTCACATCACTGTCTGTCCCAGTGACAACAGTCAACAGAACAAAAAGTCAGGGTGAATCTACCCAGTACAGCAAGAAAAACATGACCTGGGTTCGAAATGTTTTACTTTTCTTTTTTATTCACTGCCTCCCCGTGCACACATATATGAATGTAACCGTATGCACTTGGGTATCGTCATGCATGCCAGAGAAACAGCAATATTTCTAGGGCCTTTATTCAAAATTAACTGTAAACTGATGACCTGAACAGGCTTTTAAAGCTTGGCCTATGGACAATTTGGAGTACCACAGTTTTTCGCCGGGCCACAGGCGCACACAATTTTGAGACTTGCCATGTTTGGTATCTATTTACTTGGCATAACTTCAGCTTTTACATTTTACCATAAAGTGGGGTATTAGATAGTGTTTATGTGCACTATATTTAAATTGAACACATCTTTTTACTGTGCTTTCAGAAAACATCTAAAGCTTGGGGGGAGTTGGCTTAAGTAAATTTTAGGTCTAAAACATGCATTTAACGTGTGTAAAAACTGACCATCTCTGGCAGCGAAAGAGATAAAAGTTGGGGTGTTTTATACTTTTGTTCTCCATTATTTGAAGCTGCTATATAAAAAGTTTTTATAAATTCTTTATTTTAGTGTTTTCATAAAACAGGTAATCACAAACAAAACACATAATACATAAATCAGCTATCACATATCTTTTCCACATGTGAGATCTAGACTGGGCCTAACCAGCCCAAAGTCACAGTTAAGGAAAGTCACAGTGGCAATATTTCATCTGAACTAGTAGGCGAGACGTGCGGTGCTTCCGAGCTACGTGCAGTCTGAGGGAGCTGGCTATCATGACCGAGGTCACCCAGAAGTGTTATGTAGATATTGGCCACTGTGAGATAGCAGGAGCACTTCCGACAAGTACAAGACAGGAACGGAGGTTAGGAGTTTTTGGTGGTGTATAACGGGTAAAGGATTCAGCTTCTATCATTACGTTTCAGCGTAACTGTGTACTATAGACAGTCTGACTCGACAGCAGAATCACACGTTTAGTACATTTAGGGATACAGAGACCTTACTCCTGTGGGAGGCAGTAGGGATCAAATTAGGAACTACCAGAGGGCACATTGTATGGTAGAACCCAGTTTGGGGGGGAGGAGGCTGTATAAAGTTTTCTTGCAAACAGGTTGCATTATATTTGTATTTTCTTTTTTTTCCCATCTAAAAATGTATGAACAGTTATAAGATGCCTATAGAAACATCAACACTAATAAGGTTAATCATATTGCTTCCCCGATTTAAAATAAACACCGTATAAAAACCCCACAATTTAGAGCTTCCTTTGAATAGGGCAAAATACTGCTCTGCACTGTGCAAAGCTTAAGTAGGGTACACATGGTACGAAATTATCACAGTGGGTGCCCTTGTCGGCACCTATCCGCATGGAATCCCTCAATCGAAAGAGCCGGCTGGAAAATTTTCACTCAAATGGAGCAGGCTGCCAGTCGGCTGCTAGCTCCGTGCGGGTATTCTAACTGGATACAATGCAAACCGCAGGGGATTCGTCCATCAATGCTCAAATCCACGTGTATACCTGACTTAAGGCTCCAACTTGGTTGGTGTTGGTATTTGCATACCATTATGCTTCCCCGATCCAGAGATTACCAGAGTTCCCTGCAACACCACGGCCTGCTTGCCAGTCTGCTCTAATGATCATTTATGCTTTCCCAAGAAAGGGTTCATTTTAACTTCAAGGATATTTTATGTAAAGTTTGCATGTACAACACCATTCCAATGAAACCAAGTATTACTTCTCTGCCACAAAGTACATCCCTATGTAAAATGTACATACTAAAAAAAACTGTGAAAGAACCAACTACTCAAACAAGATTTCAATTCTCAGCTCTTAACCTGCTTGCATTAGTAGCTAAAAGGTTAAAATTAGATTTCTGAAGCAATGGTATCACACGACTTCTACCACAGTGACTTCATCCTACACAACCTGGGCTATGAATAACTTTTTAGATGTCCTAGGCTCTATTCACACAAGAGTGGTTGTCCATGCGTATTGGGCCGTACGAATACACGCGGAACAGCTCTAAACATTTTAAAAAATGCATTTTAATGTGCATTGTATAGAATTAAAAAAAAGGTAAAAACGTGTCATACAGTTGCTGTAACGGTTCTCTGTGTTTTAAACTTCACTGAAGGTAAAAAACGCCCAGACCTTAATAAAATCTATACAGTATTTGATTTTTGAATTTATTTTTTTTACCAAGATGTTTTTACCTTTCAGATCTGATCATAGCTGCCTGTTAAGGATCCAGAGACCTGCTATTATTCAATAGAAGAGGATCAACGTCATTAGGAGTATTTCTAAGCCCCCACCCCACCCTTCTGCCAATGGCAATGGTAACACCTCTTTGTTTAGCATTATTAAAATAAAAAGGTAGATTAAATCATAGGCGAGTCGGACACTTCAGCTATATAACAAGATATGTACATGTATTAGTATGTATATTAGGAGTTGCAAAGTCATTTCGGCCAAGCCTATATTTTAACCTCTGCATCACTGAATTTCTAGCGTTCAATCACAAAACATGAGCTTTCTATAGAGCTTTTAGCTAGGAAGATAAAATGTTACACAAGAGCCTGCTGACATGAAAAAAACAGTTACACACCTCGCAGTAACAGAGCCAAGAGATCCCACCCTAAAAACAAAAAGAAATGGAACAATTTGCGTGGGAAGCACTGTGTACAAAAATTCTATTTAATGTTAAAAGTAAGATGGTCTCTGATACAAACTGGAATTTTTTCACAGCCAACCTATTATTGATATGAAAATTAACAGTCAGTAAGCAGTTATGGTTTAATGCATTTGGAACGTATTGAAACTTTGATTACCATACTGAACACCACTATTCGCACTTCTGGCATCCGATCACTCATAATGGAACTCAAGCAGTTTTGACGCACCTATAACACTCAGAATTCCTTATCCAATGTGAGGTTAACTCATACTTGGTAAACAACAGCTCCTAATGGGCTTCCAAGATCTAATTATGTCACCCCCAAAACCAGAGGCAAGTCTGAAATCTATAGGGGCCTTAAAGTTTCATAGGGGTCCTTTTGCAAAACAGCCAGGCACAAGGGTTGAATCAGCATGAGCTCCATCAGTCATTAAAGCTCACCAAGTTCAAGGGTTTCCCATCACAAGCTGAAGGCAGGAAAATCATTTTAAATTGAACTTGGCACAATAACCATCTGAAGGAGTACGAGTTTTATATTTACATTTAAAGTTAAAACTCTAAAAGTGTAAATATCTTTACACAAGGTGACCATACGGGGGCCAACAGTAGTAAGCAATCCAAAATATGGGATGGGCCCAGCAATGCATTCAGGGTTTGTTCACACATCTCCAGACTAGATCAGGATGTGTTCCTGTAAACACGTGTATGCGCATTTTTGATGCATTCTGGTGGGGTTTTTTCCCTCAATTGGTTTTGCATCAGTTTTAAGCAATTTTAAAGCGTTCCAGAGGGGGGGGGGGGGGGGGGGGGGCAGTTGGTCTT